TTCGCTTAATATCATCTATATATTCAAGTGCATTACAACATCAACAGGTAAACAACCGTAAATCACAAGTATACTGTATGATGAAGCTATGAAAGTGATCTTTTATGTTGTAAAAGGTCATTTTAGGTAATTACATTTTTCTGATTAAAGTTATATTTTCCTCTTTTTAATATTCAAAATTGCATAATAAACCTTGAAATTCTTTGATGCATGCCTCAGAAATGAATGCTGCAGCGCCGAAATCCACCAAGATAGCTTCTCCCGTTCGCATGTTAATAATTATATTCTCATCCTGTAAAATTAAATTCAATTTTTCATAGAAGTTATATAATCATTGAAATATAAATGAAAAAAGATACTACTTAATTGTTAGTAATTGATTATTTTTAGCCATTGAAAGCAATGATTTAACTTAAATTTCATTTTAATTTGAGTGTATATTGTTAAAATTAACTGTGTTTTATAAAACATTGAATATTTTTTAAATCTTAAAACTTGATATCATTTTAATTGATTACAGCACATCGTATCTATGCATTAGCATAGTCTGTTCAAAATTTATAGTAATTATTTTTTGTATATGAAATAATAAAAACGCTTTGAGTGACAACCCCAATGGAAATTGATTTATCTTTAATTGAGTTATTTAATTGATTCTTCCACAGAAGGAATAAACTTATAATAAAAAATCACCTTAATATCACGATGAAAGATACCATATGTGCTATATAATAAATGAGTTGTATTCAATATCTGTATAAATATCGATCGTGCAATATCTTCATTCAAATAACCATAAATTGAAATTAAATCGAATAGATCCAAACATTGCTGCGGTCGTTCCATTACTATTAAAAATCCTTTCGAACTGTAAAATTATTTCCATTCAATCATGTGAAAAAAGTTTGAAAACTTTTTTAAATTCAGGCTAACAGATATAAAAATAATTATTTAAGTGATACAAATTTTTTTTTAATTCAAATTGAACTATGTATTATTGCTTAAATAACTTTTAGAATCAAATATTTCTGATAAAAAAAAAAAAAACAAAATTTGCTGGCCAATTTTTAAACAAAGAATTTTCAGAAATATTGGTTAAGACAAATGTATTAAGCGGAACAAACTTGGACAGTTTAAAATTTTTTAAAACGCAAAATTTTTAAAACGGTTGTTGAGTCAAAAAAATATGCACGAAAGACGAAGTTTTATTGTAATTCAACTTTTTTCGCCCAAAAAAATTTATATAATTATTTCAAAAACATAAAAATGCCGCACTTAGCAAACCAATCAATTAATTGAACAACGCCCGGTACACCGCGACATATATCCAACAAGCAGATTTCTGTTGGAATTAATTGCTTACATTTCTGCAAATTCTTTTTTTTTCTTTTCTTAAATTCAAACATAATACATATTTTTTAATATTAAGTGATTGAAAAGAATTAATAAAAATAATTAACTGATTTTTTTTTAATTTATGAAAAAATGCACATTGCACTATTAGCAATGAAATGCTACCTTGGCCAATAGTTCTTGAATTTTTAAATTAAAAATTCGAAATTAACCATAGTCCATTCTCGAACTCGTCTATGCTCAACGAATTTGACCGCAACTGAAGCATTATCATCATTTCGCTCTGCTTTGTAAACAATACCAAAACCACCACGACCGAGCTCCTCTAATATTTTATACTTTTTCCGAAATTGTTTTGCTCCATGCTCTATAATAAGAAATAAACTTCGATCAATTTTTTTAAAAATTAAGTTTAAGCTTTTTTTGTTTCTAAATTGAAAAATTGATTATCTGATTTGTATTTCTGCATTTAATTCCAATGATATGTTTTTTTAGAGATTTTTTTGTGAAAGATAGAAATTATCTATCTTATTTTAACAAATGATAAAATGTAATAGTTGAGAATTTTAAATGAAACCAGCCTTTATCGTTAAAAAAGTTGACATTATATGATATACAATAGGTTAAATCTTGTAATCTGCGACACAACATACTGAAATAATGTAAAGTGACAAATGGTCTTTTACCGTATATATATATGTACGGTCATATACCGTAAACCACAGACCATAAACTACAACGAATTGACTGATAAACGATGACTATTAAAATGTTGCTATTGAAATTTTTAAGTTATTAAAAAAATTTTTGCCGAAATGTGCATGTTAATGAGCTAAAAATTCTCAATGATGCAACTGCAAGAAAGTTTTCTTTACCTAAATTTGAATTTATGAAATGTTGATGAAATTTTTATTTTAATAAAAATTCGATTTAATGTATTTTGAATAAAGTGAGAGAAGGAAGAAGTGTATATTGTATCTATTATCTGATAATATATATATCATCTGACAACATATCATCTTAATTGCATAACTTTTTAAATGGTATTATTTGGTTTTGCTAAAACAATTTGTAGTTCGAGAATTTTCGAATAGCAAAATTTGAATGGTGTTTCAGTATGATTTATGCCAATGTAAACACTTAAAAAAATGAATGTTTTACATTCACATATTTATATCATTTTGGAAAATTAACTCAAAAAAATCGAAAGAAGTCAGACATATTGATTTTTTTGCTCAGATTCCCTTTTCTTATCAACATCAAAAATATTCGATGCAATTCGATGAAAATTTAATATCATTTCTCCTAACAAGCATAATAAACAATCACCTAAAAAATAAAGATTCCCGGCGGTAAATCTACAGGATAGACTAATTTTTTCTATTCATTAATAATTAAAAAATATTACATACGAAATGTAGAAATGAATTTTGAAGTAGCAAAAAATTTTAAGTTAAAAAAGCAAATGTCTTGGCCAAACAAAAAGAATATTCCATCCATTTAGTAATATTTGTGTTATAACAGCAGCCAAGAATTTTGAAAGTTATGTCGAAATTTTTGCTAAAAAGTTTAAAAAATTTAAACATCGGATGAAATAAAATAAAATAACAAATTTAAAATAAATCAGATTTGTAATAATCTTTCTATATTGATATTACTAGTCAATGGACACAAGAGATTGATGAATATTTAATTAAGAATTAGTTATCTGAGAAATTTCTATGATTGTCTGAGTTGCTAATTTTAGTTGTCGATGAATGATTTTCGGTGAATTATTATTTCATCTATGTTTGAACAGAGAGTGAAATAGAGAAATTTTGATGCAATTAAATAGATTGGCTTTATCGATTATTGCGAAATTTCGTAAAATTTAAACTTCGAATTTCACTGGGAGGATGTGATAAATGCGAAGTAAAATTTTTGTTAAAATTTTAAAAAAGTAAAAATAAAAAATTACACATAAAATTTTCCTCTATCTTTGTTGCAAAAAAATTTCAATCAATAACTTCAAATAAATCATTTGCGTATCCTAATGAAACCTACTGTCGAATTTAATTACCTCAGTGCGGCAATTTAAAATTTTATTCAATCAAATCAACCAACAGCTGTCACTACGCCCTTATTTATGAATATAACACTGACGGAAATAACAGGCGCGTTAACAATGCGTAATTTCATTTCCAATATGGAATGTAAATAGCATAAAAGAAATTCGACTAATTTAAAATTTATTTGCTCGCAGAATAAATAAATCATACTGTTTGCCTTCAAACATATCATATCATGCAAGAAGGATGAATGCGCATGCAGCATGCAAGGATAGATCAGTATGCAGAAATTAGCAATCACATGCAAGAATTACAAACTGATTTGATGTATATTTATCAACTTACATTATCGATACAAAGATGCATATGCAAGAGCAAAGAACATGCAAACATGCACTTATGCAATTTTCTTTTTTTAATTAAATTGAGGTTTAGCTCGATGATTACTTCTATTTATTTAGCAAAGTATGCCTAGTGAAAAAAAATAAATTTTAAGTCAAATCAATAAGTGCTAATAATAAATGATAAAAATGCAATCACTAAAAGTAAACAATTTTAAATGAATTTCACTTAAAAACTATCATAAACATTCGTATAGTAACTTATATATTAACCTAAATTCACTACTATTACTTACTGAAGAGATAACTCTTTCCCTTTATCAGTGATTAGCACTTTTCTGCATACTATATCAAAGCTAAACAAATATTTGAATTGAATTCATCGTAAGTATAAAATAGAAATATTAAAAAAATCAGAATATGATAAAGTTTCGTTTTCAAATAATCCAATTGATTGATTTTTTATCAAAGCCTGAAATAGTAGCTTTATCATTATCAATCAATTTTTATTTCATTCATTCAAAGATCACTGTCGAATGAGTAAGTGAGAGAAGTGGAAAAGAAAAAGCAATAAATTTGGTGATAAATGTGTTTCTCGAGAAGTTACTGCAAAGTACAACATAAGTATGCAGTAAATAAAGTATAACAACATATGTATACAGTAAGCAAAAGTTTCAGTTTACTAAACTCAGATGGATGAAATTCAAAGTTTTTTAGCGTCATTGCATTTATATTGTACTATATTTAGTTATCGCTTACCATATGAGAAGATTTAAAAATTTTTTTTTAAATTTAAAAATTTTAGAAACAGTAAGTTATCAGAAAATAAATTATAAAACTACGAATTAATTAAAGAAATTAACTCTTAAATTTAGATCAATTTTTGATGCAAATTCATTTGAAAAATCAATATTTTAACAAAATGATAATGAAGTTAACTTCGAAATTAAATAGTAAAATTTCCGTTTTTTATTATTTTAAATTTCAAAACGCTATACGTTTAAAAGTGATGATGAAGAGATTGATTGCAAAAATTTCTCATATTATTAAATTAACAAATAATAATTTTGGTGCTAAATGATTTTCTCCATATATTTGCAAAATTTGCAAAATTTTAATTAAATTGACGTTCTTGAAATTTGAAATTCTCAGTTGAAACACTATTTTAACATCAAAGTTTAGTAATTTTTACTGTTATGTCAATAGAGTACTATTAAATTCAGCAAATCCTTGAGTAAAAAAAAAAAATTGTTCACAGTATGAGTTTTGTTTGTAAATTGAAAAAAAAAAGATCACTAAATTTCCAATGTGAAATTCGTTTTTCTTCCTCAAAATATGAAATTACTGCCAGATATTGATTTAATTAAAGAAAGTTCTTTTCTTTTTAAGTAATTCATTTTAATCGCAGTCTTTGCAGCAAAAAAAGATGATAACAGATGATTCAAATATTAAAATGAGCATTTCCGTTGCGAATATTAATGCACGCCTAATAAAAATGCTTTTTTCTAATATTTTGAAGAGAAAAATTCAATTTTTTGCATTTCAATTTGAATTTTAGCTTTTTTTAAGTACATAATTTATATGTTTCTCTTTCATCTGTACGTTTAATAGAAATTTTTGTATGAACAAGAAATTGTAAAAAATTTAATTTTAAAATGAAAAATATTACAGAATGAAAAAAGACAACAGGCAAATGATTGGATATACCGGATAGAAAATGCCAAATTCAGGCAATAAAATTACATATTGCCATTTTTTTCCAATCATTGCCATGCATCCATTTTTTTGGAAATTTCATTCCCATACTGTAGGCGCCTGTAGGATTAAATAATATCGGGGAGTGTAAATTTCGAGCCGTAAAGTTGAGATTTATTGCTTAGTCCGAGAATTTGCCGAATTAAATGGATTTTAAATTTTTTTCAGAAAAAAAAAAACTTCTCCTCCTTTCTACATTGTTCGTTAAAGAATCTTTTCAAATTCTACATAATGAAATAGTGTTGAAAATAGTTAGTTTGATAAAGCTTATCAAATTAAAAAGCAATATACCATTCAAAAGCAAAATATCACAGTGATGGCAATGTGAAATAATTGATTTTGGAGCTTTTGTAAACTTTCCGGCAAAAGTGATTCTAATTAAACAATTGATTGAATTTAAAATTGAACAATTGATTGAGTTTAAAACCACAACGAGCTAACGATTGAAACGCTAAACTAATCTAAGCTAATAGACTAGTTTAGCACTTCAATCGTTAACTAGTCTATCATTTGTTGAATGCTTCCCTTAACCTCAAGTTATGTAAATTAAAATTACTGATCCCTCATTAACAAATTGAATATATCAAAAGTCAAAAATTATTTATTGGAATGATGGCAAAGTTAGAAATGACAGAAATATCGAAAATTTAACATCTATGATAATTAGCGCGAAAAATTCTCCTCAAACTTTATAGCGAGAAAAGTTAATTTATTGATCGTTGTCACCTGTCAATTCACTTCCAGCAATATTAATCTATTGGCAAAGAAGCAATTAAAATTAATACAGTGCTAAAAATTTTGTAAATATTTTTTCAAATTACACTAATGTTTATTTTCCACAAAATGAATTATTAATTTATGCAATTGTCTCAAATTAAGATTTGTCAAGTTGTTAACAAAAATCAAAGAAAAAAAAAACTTAGTTTGATCGAAAATTTTATTACAGTTAAAAAAAATAAAAAAAACAAAAAGTCAATAGGGGAAAAAAAAATCATTAAGCAGTTGTGGTAACATTAAAAACAAACGTTTATTTTTAAATGAAATTTCAAATGGAAAAAAGTGAATGAAATGAAATGTATTTTTTAACCTTTGTTTATGAATTCACTCTTCTCTCGAAAAACAGCTGTTGGATGTAATAAATAAGTAATGTGAAGCACTTTGTTTCATCAAACTTTTTCTTCTCCTTCAAATGCCAAATTGGATAATTTAAGTAACTGAATTAAATTTTATTGCTAAAAAAAGAAAATCCTTTCCCTAACAAATAATGAATAAGGACTAACTGTTAAATAAAAAAGTAATTTAATAAAAACGAACAAAATAAAAAGTAAAAATAAGTTAAACTGAAGTGCTGTTTTTTTTTCTTAACGAATAATAGCTGCGCGCATTAAAAGACATGATCAATATCGATTATTGGTAATATTTTGAATTGTAAAATTTCACAATTAGAAATTAAAACAGTATGAAATTTCTAATGAGAGATTATATGGGAAAATAAATTGTTTCAGAT